GTCTGGTTCTTTTCCTGCGGCCTGCCTTTCTCACAGTTGGCTATCGAATGCCCTCCTCCTTGCTAGGTGTTTGACAATTTACGGCATCGTCACATTAAAAAATAAAGGAGGTAATTGTACAAAAGAAATGTCTAAGTATGCATGATTTGTCGTTTTGCACCCGTTAAATGCTGCGAAGGGGAGGGGAGAGAGAGAGAGAGAGAGAGAGAGAGAGAGAGAGAGAGAGAGAGAGAGAGAGAGAGAGAGGGCCTGTAGCATTTCAATATATGAGCTGATGACAAGGGACAGTCACTTGAGTAATAAATGCAATAATGATGATGGCAACAAATAATGGACTTAGAATGAAGTGTTGATGTGTGTCGATGATATTAGGGTATTGGATATTGTTGGAAGTCACGATTGCGCTTTTTTTTTTTTTTTTTAATCCATATGTGTGGTGGGGGCCATTTGAAAGAGAAAAGAAAACGATCCTGTATCACACAATGTAGGCCTCAACCGGGAAAGGAAAGGGAAAGGGAAAAAAAAGAAGAAAAAAAAAAGAAAAAAAAGACAGGAAGAAAGAACATTTTTTATTCTTGGTCGTGTAGTCTTAAAGTGTTTTCTGAGCAGAACTGTTTATAGAGTGAGTTTCATGGACCTCTTGTCACGGGGTTAACGATGACAGTCTTCAAAAAAAAAAAAAAAAAAAAAACACATCTGACGCTCTGCAAAAGATTTTTGACGTGGCAAAAGATTTCTGACGTGGGAAAAGATTTCTGACGTGGCAGAGTGTCTCGTCTGAAATTCCTTGTAATGTGTTCAGATGATCGATTTTTTTTATTTATTTTTTCCTGCGGTGAGTATTTCGCTAACTGTCGAAACAATTTTTTCTTTATTTTTTTTTATATTTTTCCTGGACAGATAACGACCAAATCGAATGACTGGCAGACTGACAGCGTGGCTGACCTACTGAGGAGGCATTGGGGGTGGCATCTGGCTGAATGGTCGGGGTAACTGTGTGTAGCATCGTGTTGGCATTTGGTGACCGAATCCGAAGTGCATGAATTTTCATATTAAAAAAATAAAAATAGAATGCGAACGAGCGCCCTAACGCTCCGAACACGAACATGAAAATAGTAAAAAGAAAGAAATGAAAAAAAAAACTCAAAAAAATTAAGATAAATTTCCGGAAAAAATCAAATAAAAAATTATGTTATGTAAAATAATAATAAAACAACTTTTGCCTGGGAGGTAAATGTTCAAATTCGTAATCATAACCTGGAGTTAAAAATAAAAAAAGGGCCGTAGGGTGCCCAAGTGCAATTGCAAACTGTATCTTGCCCCATATATAGTGCAATTATTTAAAGTCGTTTTTGTGACACCCTACTGAAGTTACCCCCACTAATTTAATATCGTGTGTGTGGCCCGATGGACCCACAGATCAGATATTAAACTGGTCTTCAGAAGAGATATAAACTACACTTGATTTATTTTTAGTCAAAAGGCGGAGAAAGGTATATTTTGACGATTTTTTCGCGCTCAGAAGAATACACCAGAACATCTGAAATTTGAGAGCCGGTAGATTTGGTCGTTATCTTTCCAGGAAAAATATTAAAAAAAAAAAGAAAAAATTGTTTCGACAGTGAAATACTCACCGCAGGAAAAATAAATAAATAAATAAAAATGGTTCGACAGTGAAATACTCACCGCGGCGATTCGTTGCATTTTCCATTTTTACGACTCTGTGCTAGGTATGGGTGAACGGAAAAGTACTCCATTTCAGCGATTTTTCATGCGCAAAATAATGGTCAGAAAAATCTGAAAATTTGTAATCCGGTAGATTTGGTCATGATCTTTCCAGGGAAAATATCAGGGGGAAAAAAAGAAAAAAAGTTTAGGTAGTGAAATAATCATTCGTGCGGCAAATTCCATTTTTGCCACTCTACCGGTTCTCCACATTATGACATGGGTACCCTTCGTGAACTTGTGCTACTGGATCCAGTTTGTCGGTCACTACCTAAACTTCTTTTTTTTTTTTTCCCTTTATATTTTCCCTGGTTGAGTTCTCTCAACGTTGAGCTTTCTTTTTTTTTTGTGAGGAATTCTTTTTTTTTTTTTTTGTTTTTTCACGTGTGGCATGATGGGATGTAGTCTGCCGTTGATGTTGATGTATTGCGAATCTAATGGTACCGAAATACAGGAGAACAACCTAATATAGATTTTATCATTTTGTAAACTTTTTCTGTGACGTGAAATCCGTTTTGTAGTAAGCTTTGGCCCTTTTGGTTTGGGGGGGAAACCATTTTCCATTGAGAAAACTACCCTACCGGGACCTTGTCCCACTTGCACCGTTTAGTTGAGGCAGCTCAAAGGTGCGACAGCTAAAAGAAATCATTTTAATTCAATTTCAAATGAGAAATGCATTTATAAATGGCAGGAATACAATTGTTCTCTTTTTTCATTTTTCACAATTGGAGTGGCATATGGGCACTTCCACAGCAGAAAATGAAGAGGTGCCCGAATCCCGTCCAAAAATGGCAAACGGAAGGAGGCTCGTACAGTTTCTCTTGAAAAACGCCTGTTGGGGGAACAAGAGGGTCGTTGAACTAGCTGTCTAGCTGTCTCGAGAAAAGGAGACAGCTAGTTCAACGGAAAGTGGCGAGGGTAGGGGGTAGTAGTATTCGAGAGAAAGGATTTACTTCTGTTTTTTGTTGTAAGAAAAAGCGAAGATGGTCTCTATTGAACTTTTTATTAAAAACGGACCGTTAGATGAATTGGACGACGTGCATCTCCCTTGTTGCGTACAGTCACACAGGCTCGAAAACCCCACGTTGACCTAGCTCAATGGAGCTAGTGGGACAAGGTCCCCGAGGGTAGGGTACTTTTTTTTTTTTTTTTT